TGACAGACAGCAATGAAGCCCTCTGCTATTTCAATACATCACTCGTGACAGAATAAATGGAAGAGAGCGTGTGAACAGGGACGGGCCGTTCCCGCTACCTGACTCACTAGTGAACGTGAAGCTCTGACACAGACATGACCCTGACTGCTTTTCTCCCCCTCCCCCATCTTCGTTTTACATGCAGCGATCGAACCACGACAGCATGCAACTACGGAAAGCACCTGAAGGCCTGGGAACTGGGTTTAGCCACACTGTCGGCAGGTGATGCGTCAGGAGGAGATTCCCAGTCGCCTGCACCGAAACCAACCAGTTTGCCCCTGGTGAGACAACGTAGCAGAGTGGGTTCAAATCAACACAACTGATGGAACAGAAAGCCTGACAGTTCCACACAGCTATGAATGTGTGTGTAGGTACGTGTGAGCACCCGGCACTGCGGCCACACCTGATGCCCTGCCCCCCCAAACCTTCCTAACTTTAACACTGCATTTAACACCTCACACAAACATTTAAACAAAATCCCACTCGTGTGACACTCCTACTTCCACCGAGTCGATGATCCAACGTGCTGATGTTAGTTGATTGCGCACAAGTTTGAAATCCAGCAAGGGTCAACGTGGAAATATTACAAACATAGATTAAACATTGCTTATTTGTGACTTTAATAAACATTTGAAATAAACATTTAGCAGATGGGAATGGGGCCAGACGACCAAGTCACACACTGCTTTTTAGAAAAATGGCCTGTTTTTATTAATGGGCATCAGCAGATGCTGGTGACAAGCGGACTTACTTTTCACAAAAGGGTTCACAGATCACTAAACATGCACATACATACAATATACACAGGCACTATATGTGTGTGGATATAAAAATGCGTGTATGTGTATTATATGTACGTATGTATGCATATGTTGTTATCTCCGTTTGTGTGTAATTACACACCCACACACATACGCAGGCAGTGTAGAGGGTGCAAACTGGTAATCTGGCTCTGAAATGAACTGCTTCCTCTTGCCCTCACTCTTGTTTTTCTCTCTATAGCCAGGAAATGAAAGGATGTTGGAATCTGCAGAGTGTTTGAGGATGGGGGGGGGCAGAAAGCCCCCCCCCCACAGACTATAATCACCAAAACCTGACCAATCTACAGTACTCAAGATAATTCAATTCAAATCACCAACAAAAGGGCAGAAGAATGTTTACCGTAAAAAAAAAAAATCACCGGTGATATTTATGCACAAAAAACATGCATAAAAAACAGATGACAGGTGTAAATATTTTGTTTCTGTTCTGCAGGCTGGAATGAAGACATCAGTCTTAGTTATTGGACCATGTGTAACGAGACTAAAAATTGCAGCTATTTGCAGTTAATAAATAAGCAAGCAAATAAAAATAATAACGACAGAGCTGGACACAGAAAGGGGTGGGGACCCCCCCTGGGAAACAGCAGTAACCAGCCTGGTGAAAAGGGTGGATGACTAGATTTGGGAAAGGGGGGCGACGGCAACCTGGGCCACTCCCATGGACGCAGTGAATGCGATGCAATGCAATAACAACGACCGGGGGGGGGGGCTTTCCTGCACTTTTGCAGAACAATCAGAATCTAAGCCATCTCTCACTTCCTTTAGCCACCATGAGGAAGCCCAGCCTTGCCTCCCCCAATGCTAACTGTGCAGGCCCCTCCCAAGGTCATTTGCTCTTTTAGTGGCACATTGTATCAAAGGTCTCCCCTCAAAACGGGTCAGCCCAGAAAGCCCAGGCTCATCATCTCCGCGGCTCCCCTCACGTCAGCCGGGGCTCCGCCCTCCTCCCGACTCCTCGGTGGCCGGTGCCGCTTTTGCGGGGCCAGGTTTGCTAAGCTAGTGCACCCTGCCACCTCCTCCACGCTGCTAACCACTGAAACACACTCACCGAAACTCAGGAAGTTGAAATTCGAAGTCCGTATGTTACTGTCCACCCACCCCCACCCCACCCAGGCTTGGCAGAAGGACCCCGGTTAACATCGAGCGTCACGCTAAGCCTCTGCAAGAGACCGAGGCTCCCGCAGATGCCACTTTGATGGCTTCCCATAAGATGACAGCGGTTTGACACCTGACATACAGCTCCACTAAAACCAAAAAAAAAGAAAAAAACCTTTCCGCTGCAGATGAATTACAGAGTTATAGTACAACAGATAGTGGGGCCTTTACTCAAACTACTTTTTTAGCCTTTTGTTTTTACAGTGACATCACTGTGTCAGCACTATGCAATGTAAGGGCGGAGCATTTTCAGCACTGAAAAAAACTCAAGCCCTTCTTTAACATTCACCTTATAGTATCGTTCTGCTCATGACGGAAGACTGCAAGACAACATGAATACAAAAAGCTGTTTTTTTTTTCGGGGGGGGGGGGGGGGGGGGGGGTCAGGTCGTGTGATGTCCCTCGACGAAGAGTCAAGGCAGGAGGTGCTTGTGCAGTCATGCTGGAGTCACACTTCCTCTATTCTGCTTGCTCACTTCCTGCCCCGGTCGTGAGCCTTTCTGTTCGAGGAAGTGGCTGCATGCGCACATGCGTGCGTCCTCATATACACGTACGGGGATGCTGATACACACAGATACTGACGCTTCAGTTCCCCCCCCACCCCCACCCCACCGCTTAGGGAAATACACTCTGGGGAATGGGCTTTAAAAAAGGGAAAGAAAAAGCAAGTTCATAAAGTCAGGGGAAGAGATGTGCAGGCAAAACATGATGAAAGCAGAGGCTTGCAGAAAGATGCTCATGCACACACTACAGATAATGCATAGGGGTTACATCAGGCAGTAAAACCAAGATTCTATCAAATTCATGGTGACCCAGAGGCAGGGGGGTTACATATAGAGCCTGATTGCTTGTTTGAGTCTAAGCAGCACACTAAGCTAAGTCCACACTTCGACAAGCTCCACAAAGCACTTTCCATCACAAAGAAATAAGGTTCTCACCTGACCTGAAGGTCTAAGTATTGGATTTGAATAGGGAAAGGACGTCAAAGCTGAGCTAGTCAGGACACACAAATTGATACAGAGACTATATTATTATATGCAGTCAAATAGCCGAACTGCCGACTGCAAAGCAAGCATGAAGAGTATGCAAACATTCTGATATAAATGTAAACCAAATGCGCAAGGACACGGAAAGACGAAGGACAGAAAGAGCCATGGTTTTGGTCAGGAGAGGAAACCCTGATTCACAACCGGCCGGAGGCGTAGGGAGAATTACTGAGGTATCCGCCCAGAAACTCATTACAGCTTCCTGTCTGTTGTCTCTGGCATCACATGCAAGTATAGACTATGGGAATTTAGGCAGCTAACAATTTATTGGAGCCATTCAGGTTAAGTACTTAGCTCAGCGTAAAACAATAGTGGGGATCCAGGTGCTTAAGTCCAGCTACACCAGGTAAGGGAATATATGATCCCATTAACTCACCCTCAGGCCTTTAAAGGTAGGAATTCCTGGCCCAAGATGCATTGGCCATTGCAACGGGACCAACAGACAATCAGGAAACATAGTTGGGAGACTGCAGAACTGAGGCAGACAGTACAACCTATCTAAACCAAGAAAACAAGCTATCAGGATTGGATTAGATTTTGGTTCAACGCAAAGAGAGAGCATTATCACACTGTGGCAAGCCAACACGCTTCAGTTTAAAGGGGTCACAGGTCATGGTGTTGACCACCTAAGGAGTTACCAGTGCAGGGGCAAGGCAAGATAAATAAATAAACAAACAGTAGTCATTGGTTGCCAGGCAACCAAAATACAGCTCTTTGCCTGTACAACCAAAGCAGGTACAAAGCCCATCTCTGGCCCGTGTGCAGGGGCAGGAACTCCCAAGACTCTGGCTAATTACAGCACTTGGATCACTTTTCATTAGGTCCCTATGTAGAAGCACCGCTACATTTCACAACCCGCTGAAATTGCACTGCAGCCAAACACCTCCAACGGTGCCCCCCCCAGCCCTACAGAGGGTAGGCCTCAGTGGGACCAATCCCTCATACTAATATAGCCGCTCTACCTGCACGTTTCTTGTTTAAATCAACCTGTACAGGTATGCAGGAACCTGGGCAGCCCCACAAGACAGATTAATCACGTGACTACATTACAACAATGTATTAGGAAACAACAATACAAGACAAGCACTGGAAGTATGTAAAAACAATAGCCAGAACTCTCCCCATCCGTGTCCTCTAACAAAGGTTATTGTAGGACAAAAGAATCAACAAATACCCTCTGATCTTGTTAAAACAATAGGCTGGAGGAATGTACAGGTTAATAAATTAATAAATGATCCTCAGTTATTTGCTTAATTCCTACTCTGGAGGAAAAGAAAAGCTTCACAAGAAGGATTTCAGGGAAATGAGCTGAGCACTAGGCTGAAAAACCCTAACAAGCACACAGCAGCTCAACTTAAGCGTTATTATTTGTCTGCTCGTTATTTACAGATTGCGATGCTCAAACTATATCTACATTCTACATCCATCCAATCATTCCACCCATCTATCCATCTTCTATATCTCTTCCACAGCACGAGGTTACGGTATGGCTGACGTTTATTTCTACAGTATCTGAAATTAATACAACAGCTTGAGTTAACAGTTTTTTTTTTTATAAGTCTCCACCTTAAATGTGTGGTATGAGAAACTCCAGCGCCAAACCGTATCAAATGCGGAATGTTTCCGTCCACAGCGACCCAAGTGGTCTCATCTAGCCGGCAAATGTCACTTTGCATCGTCTCTCTCAAGGCCCTGGATGGAGGGGATACCCCTGAGCAGGGGCGACCAGATCAGCCAGCTCACTGCAGCCTCATGCTAAAATACTGAACCTGAAAAAAGAAATACAGCTGACACAATGAGGGTGAGGACAAAAACACAAGCAGGTGATGGGCATACAAGTAAACATGAACAGGAAGTTGAGAAGTTGAGTATTTCGGACTTCATTGCAAGGTGCTAAACACACACACGCAGAGCGAAACCCAACCCCGCTAGCAGCAGCACTGCCACAACCATGACACCAGCGTATACAGCATCGCCGAGACAGTCCATCTGTAGAAGGAAGAGGAGAGTGCAGAATCTCTCCCGCCAAAGTGACAAGTGTGTGTGTGTGTGTCACCCAAATGTGAGGGCATACCTTCAGCCACTGTGGGATGGTTTATACATTCTGTTGCCCAACACCACCCCCTTCCAAAAGCCTCACAGTGCAGTGTACCAGGGCCGACTTATGCAGAAGAGATGCTTTATTACAAAAGACGTCCCACGTTGAACAACGAAAAAAAACTATGTGTATTGTAAAAACAAACCTCAGTGAATCTGAAAACTACGCTAACACACACACACACACACACAAAAAAAATAGACGTTTCCCAAGGTTAAACTTTTTCCGGCATCTGGCTTACAAATGTCATGAAGCCACAGAGCAAAAGCATATTGCAAAACTAGCTGCAAAATAAGGCATCGTTGCCTGATTAAGTCCTCCATTAAGATAAGAAATGCTGATGCAACTCAGTCTAATATTATGTAGTTCTAATCCAGTATTAAAACTTACTTTTAAATAAATAATTTAGGGTCAGTAGGTAGCGCTTAAGCAACTGGACCTGTGACCAAAACCTGTGCGCACACAAAGTTTTAAATGTCATTTGCTTCGGTAGACACGCACGCATATCACAAAAGGGATCACTATAAAAATAAAATGCTGCATGCATTCTCGATAAGCTTCTTATGAAGAATACTTGCAAAATCTGAGCTACAATACAGATAAATATAAATGTGATGTGTAGTGAGTAGCCCGGTATGAGCATGCACGGAAAATGGCATGGTAACGAAACAGTGAGAACCGACATCTGAACGAATACGGTCATATCTAGCCCATCGACGACACTGGCTGCCTTGTCAGAAATAATAATTGGCCAGCTACTGGGCTATAATGACATTTGGCGATTTGATCTGAGCTGACGAGATGTGGCCGACGGCACGGTGTTTCGGGAGCGTAGATAGAAATCAAGATCAGAAATTAAGAGCAAAATCACCCCTGACTTGTGCTGTGTTATTGTTGGTTTCAGCTGCAAAGGACCCTGGCAAAGCCACCCCTAACACGGCACATACGTATTTTACCGATCCTTGTTACAGGCAGATTAGACTACGGGGAAGCGGAGTAGCTACTAGGACTTGATATAGATACTAAATTATTGTAATGTACGAGTTGTCGTAAGCACCGAACATTGCCGCCTACGGGAGGACGATTCAGCGCACACATATCACCGCGTTCAGCTCGCTCACTGGGCATCGTTTACCCCACCCTTCACGAACAACTAATCCGCCAGATAATGATAAATCACCCCGGTGGTTATTTATTTACGGTATATGTTATAGTTCGCAGTACAAACAAGCTTAGTCAAACACTTCCAACTCCACCCTTCCAGCTTTGCCTTAATGCATGCGAGATGACAGTAACTAGCTAGCCAGTTATGCGTCGCTTTGATAAGGAAAACGGAACGAAACTAGCAAACTGAAAGCTTAAAAAAATTACCTGGTCCCCGCCTTGTCACCCATCTCCACGGAGCGCTCAGTATGCAGGTATTATGTATCTCACTGGCTATTAGTTCGATAGCGCGTACCACCTCCCTCGTACTACCACTCGTCAGGTCGGCCTCCGTAGTCTTGTTCGCTCTCTCTCGCAAGCTGGTTTCCGCAGCCAAGGGGCGGAAGCCAGCCGCTTGTCAGCCACAGCGCACGGGGGGCGGGGCTAGTACATAAGATTGACGTGGCTTTCAACCAATTCTTAAACGTAAATTACGTGCGTCATCGAATGGTTATAAATTCCACCCACCCTACTCCTGGGAAAACCAATTAAAAGCATATTTTAGAAAAACAATGAATTTGCTGCTAATTGATGAGCGTGACACCAAATCACGGTCTCTGATTTGTTTTGCGTACATCAAACAGCCAATCAGAATGGCGCTGGATTGGTGTGTGATGTCTCTTTTTTTGGTGCGTCTGAAAAATTCTGATGAGCGTAACAAAACGCAGAACGTTTAGTCAGTGCGACAGCTCTCTGCAAGCACGCTTGTCGCGGCATTCTGTGCGCTAGTTTTTAGCCTAATTACATTTTTTTTCAGCTGTCGAATTGTTAAATGCAAAATATTTTTCAAGTAATGTATCGTATACGTTAACTGAAGACTTGGTTCAATTCACCGGTAGGGTTCGGCAAAAATGTTCCTAGAAATATACGCAATAGTTGACTAGTTGCTTTAACGTATGTTAATTTTTCTCTTTAAATGGTGTTCATTATAAATAAATGTTGGCTTAATCAACAATTCATGTCTTATAACACTTAATTCACATATGAATGACTAATCTAAATAAATTAAATTCTATTAAACATTCACAAATCTAATTTGACTGCAACATTTTATTTATTTAACACAAGTAAATATTCTGGTAACTGACTTTAATCGTACGACTCATTCAGTAAGCTTAATTACGAGATGCGCTTTGACCACAAACAAGTCTACGCATCAGTGCCGTGAGGACCAGAGTTGGGAAAATGATTATTATAGTGTGTAATGATTCAAATACGACATTATTTAACATCTTAGTCCATGTGACTGATAATGAGAACATAATTTTCATTGAAATGTGTGTTGGAATCGCACCATTTCGTGAGTATTTGTAAATATTAGAGATAGGGCAGAATTACACGTCAAAGGAAATACGAGAGAATGAAGACAAAATATATTCTTTAAACATTTTTGCACCATCTGGTGGCAGAATCAATTTATTACCGATAGTCTAATTCACTCCATTAGTATTGATAAATCAATCTGAAGTGCTTCTCACAACTGGCGAATGCAAGCATATAATGTGCAGTATTAACTTGTGTTTTAGTTGCAGATGAAATCTTCAAACAGTTTTCCTCGGTTCACCAAAGAAACGATATTTTATAACTTCCATTTACTGCAATGAAAATCTGTTTTAATGAAACAGCTAAATTTTGTGTTCATAAAGTTCACCATTATTTAAACTTTTATAAAGTAAAAGTGAAGCTCACAAATTAATGAAAATAGCAAAAGCTAACACAATGTTACATCTGATACAGTAGTTACAAACAATGCAAGTGGGCAATCTTATCAAGAAAGGGCTGTTAGGTATGTGGGTTTTCACTGCAACTCCCTAATTATATTACTAATTAGAGGACTGATTGGCTGAAGAGTAATCAACAGTAATTTTACCTGACCCTCATTTGAGAACTGTTATCACTATAACAATTCCTATACTGTACAAATATATTCGACATAGATCATTTTACTATACTTATATCTCATATATATTTACACAAAAGATGACTACAATAATTTTGGCTGAAACACAAGGAAATAAAAGTCGGGATCAGCTTCCCGTTGAGTTCTGACAAACCGGGAAGCAAGAAAATAACCTAGTTTGCATGTAAATCAGGTGAGCCCTTCTATATCACCACCAATTCAAGGTTGTCGGGCATTTTGGTGAAAAATAGAGATTTATGTCTACTATGACAAGGGCTACTGGATGGTTTGCAGTGAGACAAAAAAATAAAACTCCACTTTTTTAGAGGCATACATATGCAACTAAGGAAGACCAAGATGGAAAAATATACTTTGAATTGAAAGGCTGCTACCTAAAACCTCAACCTGACACAAGGCTGCTGCACACTGACTATCTATCTATCTATCTATCTATCTATCTATCACGCTCACAGTGTCTGATTCCGTCCCAACAATCTTCCTGCTATTCCATAAGCATCCTGCTGCTATACAGATACTTAACGTGTACAATATATTATGTAAATTGACATTTGAAATATTTCAAATTAAAGGATTAAACACGATTATAGGAATGTTATTTACAGTTACAGTCCGTCACATTTGTTTTTGTTAAAAAGAAAAGATTTATCGACTGCTTGCTTACATGTTTTGAGAATTGTACAGTCACAGCACCAAGATTTATCGCATGTGCCCCCAGAAAAAGGTGATGACTATAATGACTATAGACTAGAAATGGTAATGAGTCCCCGGTCCTGTTTCTTCACTTATCTTTCCCAGTCATGTCTTTCTGTGTCCTTGCATGTTTTGTTTACTTTCAAGGAAACCTTTTGCATGTTCTTCATGCTTTCTGCTCACCAGGTAGGTCAACGATTTTACTACATATTTTACATCCGTGTCCAACAGAAAATGCAGGTAAAACTCCTTTGACTTTCAAATCTGTTTTGCTGAAGTCTTACAAATGATCAAATAAAGGAATTTTAAAGAAAGATTAAATGTGACAGACTTTTAAATTCTATTTACTTTTACCGAAAGCCAATTAAAATGATCTGTCAAGTAATTTGAATAGTGATCGCGCATTCAATTAACATCTCAATTAGCCTAATTAAGAGTGTAGTTGTACCCAGAGGACAAAAATTGGAAAATATGACCCAATAGAGAATTAAGGGACACACCTAGGACGTTATTTGATTTAACTTGTCGCTTATATAAATGGGAATATAACTTTCTTTTGTCCATCCATCCATCCATTCATTTTCTCCCGCTTATCCGAGGTCGGGTCGCGGGGGCAGCAGTCTCAGCAGGGAATTCCAGACTTCCCTCTCCCCGGCCACTTCATCCAGCTCCTCTGGGGGAATTCCGAGGCGTTCCCAGGCCAGCCGAGAGACATAGTCCCTCCAGCGTGTCCTGGGTCTTCCCCGGGGCCTCCTCCCAGTGGGA